ATGTCTTGTTACGGTTTTTTGGGTATATAACGCTTATGACTAGTGAGCGAGTCAGAATGACTTATTTCCCTTTATAGTCGACCAATGGAAGGTTGACCAATCCGAAGCCGCACAACATTGTATTCATCATGTATAAAGGCGGCCATCTTGTTTCGTCTACCAGAAGGACCAAAGGCGACCAGGAGAAGGATGAAGTACACTCTGCTGTGATATCCACTGCGAACCTAAAGTACGCTTTCCTACTGTCTCCGAAATATTCACTGCCAACCTCTAGATTCAATACTCGAGGACGACCGTCATGGAAATGTCTAACATGTCTTACTCCACACGCCCTACATATCTGACTTTTCCCGATAGGATTAACATTTATTTCAATCATCTGGAAGCATGTAAAAATAACTTTGATGGAATAGTTCATCACCGAGAAAAATTATAAGTTCATGGAGGATGGAATCATGAAGTTGCCTCAGATAATTGCGAAACGTAGTTGAACAAAGTGGCACATATGTGATTGAACCAATTGGACAAATATATAGACATTGTCTTTTAGCTTCACTTAAATAAACGCTTCAAACGTTTGTTCCGATCCAACAGATACGTTTAGGTTGAGATTGATACAATAAAAATACATAAGTACTTCTGTAATCTAATGTCTTTTCTTTGCTTTTTTTTTTTTCGTTTATACATGAAGGCCAGTGAATCGATAATTCGAGATCGGAAATACAATTCCGGCCAGAACAATAAAGTGCATCTTTATATTAATGAACACATAAGCACACGCATACACATTCACCCCATATATATATATATATATATATATATATATATATATATATATATATATATATACGTTTGTGCTCGTACGGGCGAGTAATGAGCATCGGGTTGCTCCATCCCCAGCCACGCGGTCACACTAATTTCACCAACAAAATGTGTTAATTTATGCACTTGCCTGCTGCATCGACGTTGGTGCTCTATTATTACGATCAGAATCATTGGAATTCGGACAAACGTTGGCCTAATGACGATAAATGGTACATCGAATAATAAATAATAATAATAATAAATTAATGGTAAGAGGGAAAAAAAAACAGCAGAATCAGCAGAAAAAAAGCATCTCTTAAAATTGGTATTCACTTTTTTTTTCTCGTCTAATTTGATTTCTCGTTTTTTTTTTCTTTGTCTTTTTTGTATTTGTCGCGGACACCTTTGTTCGTACACTGCAATCAATGTTCGGTCGCAAAATACCATCTGACAATACACAAACGATTGGAAACGTCACACTTGAATTCACTGTAGCGTTTTTTTTTCCCCTGTCTTTTTATCCATTCGTTCCATTTGAAAGCCAACATTTTTTGGTCACTTCATTAGCTTCCTATTGTCTCATCCTGGTAGTCTGCCCAGGGATTTTTTTTTTTTGGCAAATATTGCTTCTGTTTTTGTTTGGTTTTGGGACTACAGAGCAACGCCCATTACACGGCTTATCCCACATACCACGAAATATTGACAGATCCACTTACAATTGATCATATAGAAAGTAATTTCAAATATCAAATTTCCTGTTCTTTCCAAATAACATATTTACTTATGTATAATACTCACCCGTCTGTAACACGCACCCGTAACATTAGGTTGCGAAAGTTTCGCAAAAAAACTTTCGTGTATAACTCCCTCTAATTTTAGCATCTGTAACGACTAAACTTAAGCTAAATTTGGCATTTAGTCATTTTTTTATTTATACACAAAGGCACTTGACAAGGTATGGCACAAGGATGTATTTGGACTGCTAGGGAAACTCAATCTTTTTGGAACGGATGTTATAATAATCCAGAATATGTACTGTGAGCAAATCTCCTACATACGAATAAAAAATTTATTAAGTACCCACGCAAAAAAAAGAAAGAGGTGCAAACAAGTATGTGTCTTTTCCGCGTATTTATTTAACCCCTACAGTGGGGCTATCTTATGACCATCCTTGGTAAGTCGATAAACTACATCCGCGTCCTTGGTTGATGAGGAAATTTCGAAGCGCGAGGAACCATCTCTTAATTAATGGTGTTCTCAAGTTCACCCTAACCTGGGCTGGTAGCACCTGTTAGGGTCCCAGCTATGGTCAAATAGTTAACCCACAAAAACGTGTAAAATAGGTTTATTACCAGCAATACATTTTTGAAAAACATATTACCAACAATATATTTGAAGAAAATAAATGTTAGCAGGAATATATTTTTTGGAAAAATATATTAGCAGAAATACATTTTTTGTAAAATTATTACCAGTAATAAAAAAAAAACTTGTCGGCATTAGGAAAGAGGAAAGTAAAAAATAAGAATTAAGAAGACAGAAGATGTCGATTGACATTGCATTTAAATCTATGAAGATCATTGAGGTTGATATGCCGTACCCCCATAAACCCCCTCCCCCCCCAAAAAAAATAGGCTATCCTGAGGGAACTAGATTTATTATCGGTAGGCTGAATCTGAGTGGCTAACACGAAATGAAACTGCAGGTCATCTAGACAGGACTGGAAAAGAAAGCGAGAATAAAGAACTAACTATGAACTGCAAGAAGACAGAAAATATGGTCATCAGGAAAATCCAAGATGCGAGTTACGAATTGAACATGTTAACATCAGGCAAGTGGAGAAGATTAAATATCTGGGACATGGTTTAGCAGAGGATGGAAATTGTGACACCGAAATCCGACCACGCATTGGACAAGAGAAAGATGCCTTCCAAAAGCCAAGCTAAGTGCTGACAAACAGAAAGTTCTCTTTAGAAACAAAGAAAAGAAGGGCTGGATTTTTATGTGATACCAGTCACCTTATATGGCAGTGAATGCCAGAAAATTTCACCATGGATGAGACAACTGGAGCCAATAGAAATGTTGTTCTACAGAAGGATGCTGATAATCTCAAAGATGAAACGAGTAAGTAACGAGGAAGTCTTATGCTTAGAATCAGGAAGAGATAGATGAAAATCTTTGGATACATTCTGAAGAAAGAAGCATACAGTTACGGTAAAAGATAGTTCCCTATGTAGTGCTAGACAATCTTTCCTGCCAGAATCTATCTTACATAAATTATAGGTCCATCATTCGTCCTTGCTTTGAATATTACTGTCACATCTAGTTTGCCGCTTCTATATATTTAGAGAATCTTGATAAAATCCAAAAAAGAATCTACAATGTTATTGGTTCTGACCTGGCATCACTTTCCCACCGCCGTAACGTAGATTCCCTGTGTGTTTTTTGATGAACTTTCTCTATGGCTAGCTAATTTTAAGATAAGACAGATTGAAGAGAAGCTTTTCCCAATTCTCCTATTTGGTCTTGTTCCACATTTTTGTATTTTCCCAATAAATATTACATACATTCTCTGGTATCTAAACTTTATGAATTTAAGCGCAGTACTAGATTGGCAGTAAGGTCCCATTTTTTTTACAGTTGAAATTACTTCTATCCTTACAGTTTCTTCTATCATATTTCTCGTTCGTGGAACTCTCTTTTGGATTCTTACTTCCATGTCAACATCGATCTTCAAAAATATAATTGTAATGTCAATCGTTATCTTTTGTCTTCTTAATTCTTATTCTTTTTATTGTCCTCTCTCCTTAATAGTAGTTTTTCTCATATTCTCTAACACTCAATAACCTCTTGCATCCTAGTGGCTTTATTGCCTTTGATCTTCAAAGGCTTGTATAAACAGATGTCAGAACAGGGTTTAAGAGAGATAACAAAAAGACAAAATTTATTTAGAGTTACAAAGCACAGGAAATTGTGGAGAACAATGACCGTTAGCGTTTTGAAGGAAGAGGGCACATAGAAATAATTTTGTTTTAAAATAATGTTCACCCTGTACAAGTGCCAAGAGCCACTCGAGGTAGAGGGTTATGGAGTAAGAGGCACAGTTTATGGGGATAGGTGGGGAAGTTAACTGTTAACCTTAGACTTGAAGAGGATTATAGTAATCTTGGAAGCGCCCTTTTAGGGGTCGTTTGCAGAAAAGCAGTGGTACCTGGGAAGAAGCTGCTCGAGTGGAACTTACATCTCACCAAATGGAATACAAAGGCAATGAGGCTGGTTCGCTACAATGTAACTGTCATGGCGAGTCTTAGCCGTGAATATTAGAACTGGTGGTACCAAGGAAACTAGTTCGTCTGCAAATAGCGATAGAGCAACGAAAGGCTTGCGACGTCTCGTTTGTTGGAAAGGGATTGTCAGGTAAGAAATAATTCATCACGCACAAGGACGCGGAAACACTTTTGGACTTTATCAAAACTGGAAACTGAAGACTGAGCATCTCCTTCCAATATATGGCAGAAATACTCTATTTTTGGCCAGATCTGGCTCTTGAAAAAGTATAGGGCCGCAGAAGGTACTTACTGAAGCAGTTTTGCTAAACAAAAGATGTCAGACATTAATGGATACTTTTGTATCGTCTTAGTAAATACATATCTATTTTCCAGATACTATTTTCTGGAAAATATATTAAAATCCTTAGTGGTTTGTTTTTTTTTCTCTGAAAAGAATCATCTTTTCTGAACTTAACTGATATTTCCAGAGGATGCTTAAATCTAGGTGTATACTAGAAAAGAAGTTAGCAGGTATGAAAAAAGAATGAAAAAAGGCAAAACCCAATAATTTCCTCGTTTGAAATAGAAGTTTAACTGAGAAATTTGAGCGTGACACTCAAACTTTCTGCTTCATTGGTTGCCAATCAAGCTGATGCATTGGCGACTCAAAGACGCGGCCATGACAGTACAAGAAAGCGAGCATAAACTTGTGGACTTTTTAAAATGCGAGATGTATTTACTCTTTCTGATTCGTGTGCTTACTAAGAGAGGGACACACACACACACACACACACACACACACACACACACATATATATATATATATAGATAGATAGATAGATAGATAGATAGATAGATAGAATGATAGGACAAGACTATAAGAAAAGATAGAACTAGACTGTGATAGTCGTTTCTTTCGGTCTATCTATGATAGTCTATTCATATCTATCTATCTATCTATCTATCTATCTATCTATCTATAACAGTTTATTCATATCTAGCTATCTATGCATCTATCTATCTATAACAGTTTATTCATATCTATCTATCTATCTATCTATCTATCTATCTATCTATCTCAATCTTTTCATGCCTGTCTGTCTGTCTATCTACCTATCTATCAGTTTATTCATATCTATCTATCTATCTATCTATCTATCTATCTATCTATCCCTGTCTATATACCTATATATCACAATCTGTTCATATCTATCTATCTATCTATCTATCTATCTATCTATCTGTCTATCTATCACAATTTATTCACATCTATCTATCTATCTATCTATCTATCTATCTATCTATCTATCTATCTATCTATCACAGTTTATTCATATCTATCCATCTATCACAGTTTATTCACATCTATCTATCTATCTATCTATTTATCTATCTATCTATCTATCTATCACAGTTTATTCACATCTATCTATCTCTCTATCTATCTATCTATCTATCTATCTATCTATCTATCTATTTATATATCACAATCTGTTCATATCTATCTATATATCGGTCTATGTCGCTGGGAAACTACTTGTTTCAATATGTTTAAACGTGTAGTAGATTTTTTTTAAAGACGTTTTTTTTTTTGTTGCAGAGCATTCAAGCTTAGGTCAGCGAGAGAGGAAAACGAAAGGAACGGTCGAGGAAGACAAACAAAAAACATTAAAATTTGATTTTACGCTAGGGTATTTCTATAATTGTCATTTGGTGCCAAACCCCATTTAAGTAGATTCTTTTGGCCCTCGTAAATTCCGAACGTTGAAATCTTTAAAATCTGTTTCCCTTTTTTAAATACAGTGTTACAGCAAAAGAAACACTTCCTACTCATTTAAATTCTAGACACTTGAAGCCAGTATTTCAAATCTTAATGCCATCATTTTAACAGATATATTTACCAAAATTACACAAAAATATTGAAAAATATATGAAGTGTTAAAGAGTAAATTTATACAATAAAATCGCCATCGGCTTCAACCACGGCCTCAAGACAACTTCGGAATCTCCTGCATCTCTTCTGGATGGTCTCCTTGTTTAAGTTGGTGAAACCTGTCATAATATTTGCCTTCTGTTCATCTTTGGTGTTACAAGGAGTTTGTTATTTCTCGCTGAACTGCACCCCCCACCAAATAATAATCAAGAGGGTTGCCGTCTGGACAATTAGATGGCTAGATGTAAGGGGTGGTGGTCGCAGAAAATGTCTGACGCTAAGACTTGGTGCAGAGTCCTGTTGCGGGACACACGGTCTTCCAGAAGCCACCTTTTTGATCCAGATCTGCACTACCTCCTCAAGGCAGTTGATAAAGAGCTCCGTGTTGAGCCTGAGGCTCTGTGGGAAGATGAATGAAGGCATAACATCACCATCACTAGTGAACACTCCACACACATTCGTAATCACCATTAGACTCATCCAATTCCTTCCGAATCCTGTGCTTTTTTCCGCAGATTGAAATATTCGTACTCGAGCTTCTGGCGTTTCCAAATTTCTGGCGGAGTGAATTGCGTTATGGCGGTCTTTTTCTCACAGAAGGTGCCCAATGTACCCTATCTATAATGTGCAAGCGACAAAATCAAAAACAAACAGTTTGCATGCGTGAATTTCAAAATATAAAATGGCGACAACTTACCCTTTATCTTTCGAGTTTGCTGAAACTTCATTTTTAGAGTTATCAAGTCAGGTAACTTAATTTATATGAATAATTTTATTTAAATATTACAATTTAGGGATCTTAAAACCTTGCTGTTACAGACATTTTTAAACATTGTTGCTATACTCATAATTAATCTTATTTATTATTGGTTGTAATTTTCCTATATAAAGAATTTCTAGAATTTGAGGCTTTTGTCTTTTTTAAAAAATTAAGTTACCTCCCTTGATAGCGGTAATTTTTGAATTAATAGAGCGCGTTTCATGCGCATTTGAAGAAGAAAAAAAAACCCAACTATCAATTGCATTATTTTCATCTGAGCAATTAACCCCTGAAGATGATCTTTGATGAGATTGAAACTACTTGAGAATGAGAAAAACTATGATGTTTTTCTTGATGAGTTTAATAACAATATTAAAAAATTCGTCCGTAAATTTGAAAGGGTTAAATAAAAATAAATAAATAAATATATATATATATATATATATGAAGAAAAATAAAAAAACAAACAAAAATCCTAATATGCGATTATGCTGTTTTAATGTTTAATGTCAACGTCGGACGTTTCGGTTTAATAGACCATCTTCAGGACATATTCATAAAACATAATTAACACATACAATTCAACATGAAAAAGACGATGGACATAATAAAAATAAATAAGAAAAATAAATTAATCCAGATAAATAAATAAGTAAATAAATAAAGTAAATAATGAACAAATTAATAAACCAATCCCGACAAAATAACCATTAGAATAACCTAAAAAAAAATCA